CAAGGCACTTTATTAAACAAATTTGCAAAGTTCACATTTTAGCTATATAGGCATCACTAAAATGAAACAGTGAGTAGTCATACTTTAACCAAAATATTAATTAAAGATTTACTTGGCTTTACTTCAATTACAATTAAAAACCCTTATACAATATTACCAACTTTAGACTTAATCAACTTAAATTTTTTAAACCAAAAATTCTTTTTAATAAGTTATCAACATACTTATTATATTATACTATTTATCTAAGCCAATATCTAGACACTATTTGCTTCTTTTGTAACTTACCTAATTTCTATTCCTACTGATATATTTGTGCTAATTTATCTTTATTCAATTAATCATCCAAACCTTCACTAACCAAATTATCTCTAATAATTTGCCTAATCTTGATACTCATCAAAAATATAACTTAATTAACAAAATTCTTTATTATCTAGCCCTTAATTCTTTATATATATTATCTAATACTTATTATCCTAACCTTATTCTTAAAAGACTTATTCCAAAGTCTCTTATATCAATAATTCAAAACTCTGACATTTCATACAAAATGGTCTCTAAGTTATTATTAATATTCTTCTTAATATTAACAAACAATTATATAAGTAATTATGAAAAACATACTATATTTAATTCTCTAATTAGAAAAATCAACAAAACAAACCCTGATCTCAACAAATTAGCTAATCTTTAAGATTATCTAATCCAACTAGAAAACATATATGCTCTCAAAAAGATTATACTTACTTATGCCTTTGTAGACTTCCTAATCAATTATATTTTCACTCAAATATATGTCCTCCTATCAGCCAAGCAATTTGCAAAATTAATATTTGGTCTATCTTATGAATCAAATATAGCATATCATCAAATTATATATTAAATGTCCAAATCTAGATAAGCTTTGACCACTTTAGTAGATTTAGGTTACAAATAAACTAGTCTGAGCTTTTATTCTTGCATGTAATTTTCAATTTATTTGTTTTGTACAAATAGTAGTAGTTATATAGTTAGCAGTTTAATAATTAGTTCTGATTGCAAGTGTTGGTCTTGGTCATAGCATATATATATATAACTATTTTAAATTATTAATAATGATATAAGCAAAATCTTATCTTAATATCAAAAAAAAAACAATTAAATATAATACTAAAAAGTTTTAGAGAATTAACAATTTTAGTATAATAGTTAGATTATTATCCTTTAAGTAACAAATCTAAGGTTCAAATCCTATTTATGATAAAATTTGAAAATTATATTTGTATTATGATAATTGTTTTTTGTTAATTAGTTGGTCTTATATAGCTATAATTCAGATATACCAAATTAGGTTTTATCTAATATTAAAAACTTAAGACATTTATGTAAAACATAATATTGTATATATATTAAGGAATGTAAATAACTAGTGTTGCATAAAACTTCAGTATAAACTTATAATAAGACTGCTAAATATAAAAGACTAAAAAATTAAGATGACAGAAACTTACTTAAAAATTTTTAAATAAAAAGATAGCATGAACTTTTAACAATATTATTAGACTGGCTAAAGTCTATGAACTATTTTTATAAGAACAAGTTGAATAAACTAGATGCCAAATATATATAGAAGAGCATATAACCAACTAGGCTATCAGATTTATTAAAAGAAAAGAATATAAAAGTATATATATTAAGCTATTTGAATTGGTAATCTGACCAGAGTCTGCCAGTTCTAAATTGTAATTAGTAGAAGATAATTGACAAAATGCTAAGAAAATAAATATTGGGTTCTTAGTAAATCTTATAAAAATAAAAATAGTTAATATAGCAGTTAAACAAATAATTTTTATAACAAGTATTAGGTAACTATAGTGTGTTGCATAAAACTAGATTAGCTGTATATAGAACATAGCAAGCTCTAGTAAGTCTTTTATTAAGGATAAAGTAGTTTTAAAAATACCAATAAGTATTAAAAACTTGAATAAATGATACTTTAAAGATGTTCTTATAATACAAAATAGATTGCATATACAAAAAGTTTAAATAAACAAAATTCTTAACCAATTAGCAAGTATAGCATCTAATATAAAACTTATATAGCAATATATAAGCAAACTACTTAAATTAAATACTAAAAATATATATGTAACTAGTTGTAATCTTCAATATAAAAAAATCTCTAAAGACAATCTGTATTCTATAAACTTGAATAAAAATGTCACATTCTGAAAATAGGAACTTTAATTTAAAAAAAAAAATGCTAAAAAGTTTTATTAGTAATTTTTTTTTATATATAAAATTTTATTTGCTAAAAAAATCATATAACAAATAATTTATATTACTCTTATCCTTAATATAAGTTATTATTAAGCTATCTTTATGTTTTTTTAGTAAGTTTATATATATATATTTTTTTAAATATTAAGATAGTACTTGTAATTCAAAATTTTATTGATAGTATATTTGGTTAATAGTTGCATTACAACTACAGAAAGCAATTATAAAAAGAGTATACAACTAGTTACTTATACAACTTTAGTCATTGTTTAATTTAAATAGTCAATCTAAAGGTTTTATACTAACTGTTATATTTGGAATTTGCTTATAAGTTCTCTATTTAACTATTTTAGTTGCTGTATTCATCTATTTACTTTTGTTTACCAATGACTCCAATTAATGCTTGTGAAAATATGTTATGATCACTAATTCTTTAAAGCAGTTTACTTTTATAAAAAATCTTTAATTTTGTACTAAATCTTTTAGAATCTTCTATATTTTTTCTTATAACTAATCTAATATTGCTATAACTAAGATTAATACTAGTAGTTAAGACATATTATTAAATCACTATGTCTTGTAGAGTTCATTTTAATCTTAGTACTAACTTTACAACATATTTCTATTACTTTGGTATTCAATTCAAGTTTTACTAAACTGCCAACTCAGATAGCTCAAAAAGTTAGTAAATATAGTTCTGGTTTATATGTTCTCTGATATATATTCTTTTTTTCTGAAATTTAAAAATTCTAGTAGCCTGATTGGTTCATTTAATCTCTTTCCAAAGACCAGCATATTTGTCTGATTTTATGAGTTTTAGTTCTTTTTTATAAGCCTAATTTTTACAATAATACTATTAAAAATTTATATTACCCTTCTACTCAGATCTTCCAAGTAGGCTTCTGTCTTTTTATCTGATTCCTGTAATTTATATGATCTAAAGACTTATTATAAGTTCATACTACCTGGTACTAATTTGTGTTTCTTTATATAACATTGTACAAATGTTTAGACTTTTCAGTTATGCTAATATAATATAAGTTATAAGTATTTAATTACAACCAATCATAGAAGACAGTTAAGCATAATACAGAAAGAATTATAAATTTTCACCATCACTAGGATTTGAACTCTAAATCTGTTACTTGAAAGTTGACAACCTATTTACTTTACTAGGTTAATAAGTTTATATTTTTTATATTTATTAAATATATGTTATATATATTTTATTTGTCTTTGCATATAACTAATTTATTTATTAATTTGCATCCTCTTAATTAAAACAGATCTACAATATAAAATCAATGTTAATTCTCTAAAAGTTTTGTTTTTTAAATGTTTGTCTTAAAAATTTTTGATTTTCTCTTATTTTTTTTTAACTATATTACTTGTTTTAGTTTTTTTATACCTTTTTTGAATGCTTTTTTTTTTACTTAAACCTTTCAAAATGATTTAAATAATCATTTTTGTATAAACTTAGTTTTTGCTTCTTGCTAATTTTGGGTTTAAGTAAACAGTAAAAAGAATTTTTTTTTATAATAATAGTAATAATAATACATTTATAAAATAATAATAAAATAATAATAATAATTTATTTTATAACTATATGAATTTGTACTTCTGTTTAGGTCATATAAAATAATCAATTTCATAATTATAAAATGTATTATGTAAGTTAAGTTTTCGAAAGTCATTATAACTAATTAAATTAAAACTTTTATTAGTTTTTTTTTAAAAATTAAATTTTTTTTTAAAAATTTTAACATGCAAATTTGCATGCTAAATCTGATGATTTAAAGAATAATAAAATAAAAATATCTCATATAACTAACCAATCAAATTACAAAATTTTTGATTCTTTTCTACTGCAAAAGTTCTACATGTTCTTTGACTGTTATAGAATTCTTTATAAAGAACCAACATAATTTTAATAAATAGCTATATATATGATGCATATAATATTTAAAATAAAAAATTTCATAATCCGCGCAAAGGTGATACTTAATTAGGATCAAGTTGGATCACGTGATGCAAAACCAGAATTTTGATTATCGCCGGCAAAGAAATAAAAACGAAAAACCTAAAAAATACGAAAAACAGCAGTTTAAACCTATCTTGGGTAGGTTAATTAAATTTTTCAGAAAGGCAAATTTGCTTAAATATAACCCTAATAAGGTTTATAAAGAAAATCTACTCCGCTCCTATTTTAGGTAGGATTTGCGATTTCTGGCCTGTCGTAAAATTTTTATCGCCACTAATTTGACGCATGCAACTGCGGCAGAGGTGCTTCTCACATGTTCTGTAGCCCTTTAAGGTTAAAAATAGCAATAAAGTATTGTATAGGCGAAAGTTCTTTGAGTTTCTGATTCTTTCACACAATAATATTTTCCGAAGTTATAATCGAAAGTTTCTATTAGTGAAACGTTACTTTATACTGTAAAACATATAAATCAGTTCTGTAGTTACCCGGACAATTTATTCAGATCAGCCAATCAGACGAAAATCTGACTATGACACCAGAATTCCGGTTTTTTGTATTTAGCGATAGGCGTTAGCGTAACAAGTGTTCAAGAAAAAAAACTTCATAAAATTTTCGTTACGTATACTGTAGTAATAATAGCATATCGTTAATCATTAATTTAGTGCATGGCTTCGACAGTCAACTAATTCTAGATTCATTGGTGTATATATGCATACAATACTGAATTTTAACCTCTCTATTAAACGTCGGATCAGTAATGTCTTCTGAACAACCTCTACACGTTGTTATACGCATCCCGTATAAAAGACCTCCGGGCTTTGTGGAACCTCCTGCCGTAAGTCTCTTGCTGGATACTTATCAAATAAACGGGATTTTAATTTTTTTTCTAATTCTTTTTTAACTTTAGATTATTTGGACTGAGGAAATGGAACAAAGATTATGGGAAATACTCACACACAACAAAGATCAAAATATAGATTGTTAGTAAGTTTACCTTTTGTCATTCAGGCTTAAACTTGGTTTGTGTAGAAAGGATATGTTGATTGCTTATGAGATATTATATTAAAAACAGGGAATTCTGCTTCTCGACTCTTAAATGTGCCAGTTCCATATCTTTTGCGTCATGCTGCTTTTTTATATGAAAATCAACTTCGTGGTGTTAAAATGCAATTACGTCGAGATGAAGCAATGAGTTCCAGCAATATTAGCGGTTCACATGGGAATCGTAACAGAGCTTCAAGTTGTAAGTGATTAGTAATTTAAGTCTTTACCATTGAATATCCATTAATCAATTATGTAATATATGCAGTAATTGATGGAAGCCCTAGACCACCATCTGCTCTGTCTAGCATAAGCAGAGATCAATTTACACCAGCACGTGCAGTTTATACTGGGTCTCCAGATATGATGCGAACCGGAAGTAATACCAGTTTGTCAGATGGCAAGAAATTAGTTAGTGGATCAATTTCTTCTTCAATCACCGTAACTCAATCTTTAAATGAAGGTATGCCCTTTTTTTTAATACTTATTTGAGAATTTACCTTCCTTTTTTGATTATTAATTTTATTAATTTTGTATTGTATAGCGAAGCAGACACAAGTTACGCCTTCTCCTCCCCAGAACGGATCCCCTACTTTCTCTAGACGACCATTGTCTACCTCATCTTCCGTTTCAACGATTACTACCATTGACCCCATTTCTAGGCAGCCTGCTCAAATGGCACCCAGGCAAGATAGTTTTCCTGCTACTAATTTATCTACTATAGAATCATCCACTACAACTTCATTCGCGACTCCTGCTGCATCATTGACTATGCCGTTGTCGCGAACTTTATCAAATCTCTCATCACCTGGTGCTCAAGACTTACCGGGGAGCGTCATGATTCACACAGCCGATCCGAATAATGATTATACTGAAGAATTTTTAGAAGAAGAAAGGATTGATAGCTTAGGGCAAAGCAATGAACTTTCGCTAAGTGACAAACTGGCTCAATTGAATACTCAAGCTTATCCTGCTTTCTTACCAATTGGGCTCAATACACTGGGCACAGATCAGTATGATGGTTTACGTGAGAATTTATTTTCTTATTACTATAAGAGAATTTCTGATAAAGCTATTTACAAGTTCATGTCTTTGAATATTAAAGGACCCCCACCATTTAATAAGGGCGGATACCCTAATGCGCATGACTCAACAAATTCATCATGTTCCCTCAGCGAGCTTGGTAATTATGTTAACGACATATATACTGTGTTACTTCTTCATATTCTAGTAGATTATTATATACTAATACATTATATATTTACTTATCCTATCCATATCCTATAAAGATTCTATTACTCTGTCTGAAATGGGAAGTGCATATCTGGAGGAATCTTCGAATTCAAAACTGTGAGTGAACAAAAATCAGGTTTTATTTCAATTTTTTTTGTAGGTCAAACAATTAATCATTATGAATGATTATTAGTTCTGTTCATTCTTCTAGAAAAAATTCTCATTACCAAAGTTCATAATTAACATTTAAAAAGTCATTTTTAACTTGGAAAGTTCGAATAAAAAAAAAAAAAAAAAAAACCATGACGATAATTGTATAAGTAATTAAATGGTTAACGTCCATTCAATATATGAAAACGATTGATTAACCGTAATTATGGTTTTAAAACGATACTTGGGACAAATTCTATAATGAGTACTAAAGTAATTGTTATCAACGTGTTTATATTTATCATCCATTGAAAAAACGTCATTTAGTCTGTCTAGCTGATAATCCGATTCTTCTTAGTCAAAGTAATAAATGTAAATAATAAACTTTTTAAACCAACTTAATGGAGGATAGTCAGTTGTTGGTTATTTATTATCAGTTATCGTCTAATAGCCGGTTAACCAATGCAATATCATTTTAAGTATCGTTGTTCACCAGGTTATTACCATTCTAATAGTATTAAAGTAGGTTCAATATAGCTTGAGATAAAGTGAACCGAAATCTTGCAACGTCCGAAGCTATAAGCGTTTATAGTTTTTATAGTAAATTCTGAAATAAAAATACCTAAAAACGGTACGATTAACCAGATAAGTATGGTACTGTATAGAATAAGCCCTTAGTTTCGGTCACTAGCCTAAAGTGTTTCGGGTAGCATCATTACCAAAAGTAAAATTAGTAGTCTTGTTAATATCCTTTGGACAAAAAATGATAGATTTCGAACTTTCCGACCGTAACTGTTATCAGGCTTCTTCTAATAGGAGCATCAAAGAGCACATGGCAAGATAATATTTCTAAGGCAAGCAATAAACTATAGAAAAACAATTTGTCATGTCTAACAATGTTAAGAATAAATGAATTACAGACTTCGGTTTACAATACCCAAAATATGAAGATATATGAAGTCTTAGAAGTAAAATAAAATGATTACATTATGATAACTAATTCTATTAAAAAGTAGTAGTTTCAAGAGCAGATTAGTTAAATAATCAAAAAATTAGAAACAAAGATGATAGAGAAACCAAGTTATAGAATAATATTTTATTTTTTTATTTTTTTTTAGTTTCAAGGATGATTTTGCCTGTGTGTCTTTTTATTATTAGTAACATTAGATTATATATTATATACAAAGTATATTAATAAAAATACAACTAGTCATATATATAACTTTAGTTATTATTTAATTAAGGGTTTTACTTATAGGTTACCTACTAGATGTCATACCTAAGACTTGCCTGTGAGTCCCCTATTTAAACTTTCTGATTTTCAACACTTATTGCATATATATGCAGAACAGGTTAGGGTTATCTAATTATTATTTATATCTAAGTACCACCTTATTGGATGTTACTAAGTATCTATAGTCTTTTGAGTTTATCCTTGATGAAAACTTACTAAATATGGTACCAAGATTACTTCTTAGATTTTATCTATTTTAGTGTATCCTGTATTCACTAAACCAGTTTGATATCAAAGATGTTTAAATTTTAATAAGTTTATTATTTTTCTATAGTTTTCTTTAATGTTTATCATATTATCTGTTAGTATGTCTTCTCTTCATTTCTGATTTGTTTATCATTTCTTTTATATTGAGCACAAACTCTTCATATCCAAAAACTTCTTTTCAAGAACTTTCTTATATATTAATTTTTTATTCATATTGACTTAAGTCACAGAGTTTTATATACATTTATATGCTTTCATAAATTATAGAGTTTTTGCTTTTAACTGAAATTGAACTATTGACCTTGTCTATAAAGAGAGAGGCACTTAGACTACTAGATTACAAGACCCATCTCTATAAAATAATATTTTAAAATTGTAGTTTCTAATAAATAGATGATAAAGAAAAATTATTAGATAATATAAAATAAAAAAAATAAGTTCTAATTAACAATCTATCAACCTCCAACATAACTCTTTCCGCTGATCTTCATAACCAAAATCGGAACAAGAAGAAAGCTATAGAAAATACAACAACTAGCAAGTTAAAGCACTGTTGTCAACTAAGCAAAGTTGAAACTAAAGAGAAATTAGATAGAGTTTATTA